TTAATAAAATGACGATCGATCTCCACGTGTTTGGTCCTGTCATGATGAATCAGATTCTTGGCAATATTGATGGCTGATTGATTGTTAGAGAAAAGATTTATAGGTCTCCAATCTGACTTCAGTTCTTCATGTAGTCTTCTTATCCAAATTCATTCAGAAATGTCATGAGTCATGCACAAAATTTAACTTCCGCATTACTTCTTGAAACATAAAGGTTGGTTTTTGCTTTTCTAAAGTAACCAAGTTCCCCATGTATAGGTAAAACCCAGTTATAGACCTTGGACCAATTATTGATCTAGCCCAATCTTCATCACTGTAAATCTTCACTTCACGATCGGAATCTTTCTTAAAGAATAAGCCCTCATCAGGTGTCAACTTCAAGTAGCTTAGGATCCTGTATACCATATACGGCCTCCATGTGTTCTTCCCTTGGATAATTCATGAACTGACCCACAATACTGACCAAGAAGACAATGTCCAGAGCGATATGTGTGAGGTAGATGAGTCTGCCTATCAACTTTGATATCAACACTAATCAACTAGAGTATCCTATCAGCTAGAGTATCCTTTTCTGTCATTGCAAGCTTCCTAGTAGTTCCCGGTAGGAGTGCCAATTGGTTTACATCCTAGCATCAGTCTTCGAGTAAGTTCAGAACATATTTTCTCTAAGACACTAGAGATTCCACTGCTTAATCAAGCTACCTCCATTCATAGGAAATACATATATTTCTTAGGTCTTTAATTTCAAATTCTGTTGCAAGAGTTTTGTTTAGATTAACCATTTCTTCTATGTGCTCACCAGTGACAACTATATCGACATACACTATCTTTTGTTTTTTTGATAAAAAAAGAATTCTATTGAGAAAAAGAGGGTAACATTACAATAAAAATAATGGATAAGTCATCTAGCTAAAGCAAAAGAAAAAAACATAGCAGAGAATGACATGCACTATCAAAACAGACAATTTACTTTTTGAGATCTCTTTATGAATTAAGTATAATCGGCTTGGAATTGAGAGTAACCTTGTAACTTCACCCCTCTGGTAAATATGTTAAACCATATTGTCAGGGACTGTTTAGAGACCTTTTCAACTTGAAAACTTGATTCCATGAGGCTTGGATCTGAAAGCTATGAGGAATCCTCATATACACTTCGCCTGCCAGATCTCCATTTAAGAAGACATTATTCACATCTAATTGAAAAGTGAACAATAACATATAGCAGCTAGAAACAAAATAACTCTGATAGTGTTGTGTTTTGCTACAGGAGTAAACATTTCTTGATAGTCAACTTCATAATACTGAAACCTCTTGCAAGACAGCATCCTTTGTACTTGTTGACACCGTCATCCTCCTCATACTTCACAGAAAAGAATGACTTGTACCCTACTGGATTTTTCCCAAGGAGCAAATTTGTGATTTCCCATGTGTAATTCTTTTTAAAGCCCAAATCTCATCATGTACTACTTCCTTTACTGTAGGATCTTTGGGATCCTGTACAGCATCCAAATTGGTAACATTGCTTTGAAATTGGAGATGAGGTTCAAACACAAGATATAGTTATGAACAGGGTGTTGTGTGCACGATCTCACTCCCTTCCTTGGAGCATGTAAAGGGTTAGGGAAGAAAAATATTGAATAATTCTTGTATTATTATTGAAATGAAAGTAGAGATATATATATATGTAAACGGATTCATATATAGTAACCAACATAAATTACCCTAATTATTTTCTTCCTAATTACGCTTGCATATTTGAAAAAATAATCATATTATTATATATAAAAAACATTCTATAATATTTTATCGCTCTCCCTCAAACTAAAGTATAAATATTAATCATGCCCAACTTATTATGAAGATACTCAATCCGTAATTCATTCAGATATTTTGTGAATATATCACTAAATTGTTATCCTGTCTTCACATAACCAGTATATATGAAGTTTTTTAAAATTTTCTCTCGGACAAAGTAACAATCAACCTCGATATATTTAGTTCTCTCATAATACACAGGATTTCAGGCAATATGGAGACAGTCTGATTATTGCACCAAAGTTTTGCAGGAGATGTGGGTTTCAAATCCATTTCATCTAACAGATGATATATCCATAAAATTTTGCATGCGGACTAGATCATAACTCTAAATTTGGACTCTGCACTTGAGCGAGATACAACTGTTTACTTCTTACTTTTTCATGATAACTCGTGATAAACCAAAGCTGGAGGCACATCATCTAGAGGAATACTTTTATCTGTTTACTCAATAAAGACACCTAGTGTGAAGCTATAAATGAGTCACTCGTCCGCCTCCGAACCTGTAGACTCTGATGATGAGGAGAATAGTATATTCTCTGAAAAATCATATCAGTTGATACCAAATATTTATTAAGGTCTAAAAAATAGCACCTGTATCTTTTTTGGAAGCGAGAATATCCCAAAAATACACACTTCAAGGTATTTGCGTCTAATTTTGTCACAATCGATCGCACATCTCGAACATAATAGATGCTACCAAATATTTTAGGTTGTACCGAAAACAAAGATTTGTATGGAAAACTGAGACCGTAAGGAACATCCCCATCATGCCCTATAGATGGCAAACGATTAATCAAGAAACAAGTTGTGGAAACAACATCCACCCAAAATTGCTTAGAGATTTGTGTTTGAAATAAGAGAGCTCGAGCTATCTCAAGTAAATGCTTCTTCTTCCTCTCAGTAACCCCATTTCGAGATGGTGTATCAACAAACGAGAATTGATGAAGGATCTCCTGTTGAGTCATATAATTCTGAATTGAATCTGACATATATTTCTTGGCATTATCACTCCTCAATACATGCACAGAAATATTGAATTGTGTCTTAACTTCAGCACAGAAAGCACAAAAGTGAGAATACTTCTGAACGATTCCTCATAAAATATATTCAAGTCATGCGAGAAAAATCATCCACAAAAATAACAAAATACTTGAACCCAGTTTTGGACGGAACAAGGCAGGGGCTCCAACTATTAGAATGAACTAACTCAAAAGCATATTCAGCTTGTCTATTAATCCTTGTACCTGATGAACTACGGTGATGTTTTGCAAACCGACATGACTCAATCTAGTGAGGATACATCATGAAACTAAGGACATACTTTCTTCAACACAGGTAGAGATGGATGTCCCAATTGACAATGTGCTTTAAATAGAGAGATAATATTAGAGCAGGGAACAGATCGAGATACCCAAGTAGTAAGAATGTAAACACCATTTGATATATTTCTTTTACCACTAATTTGTTTTGTCATAAAATCTTGAAGAACACAGTAATCAAAAACAAATGTGATATAACAATTCAAATTTTTAATAACCTTACTCACAGAAATCATATTTAAAATAAGTTTAACTAAACTTAATACAAATGACAGAGTAATAGATAACATTGGTTTTGTAGTCCCCGAACTCACAATAATATGTCGACCCATCAGCAATTGTTATAAGAAAATGTGTTTTGTGTGGTCAAAAACTAGAAAAAATATTAGGATTACCTATCATGTGATCTATAACATAGAATCAATCACCCATCTGTTTAAGAAT